TAAGTTGTCGAATATTTGTCTGATATTGGTATTAATGTATTATCGTGCTTTCCAGTCAGCAAACTTTCAACAGTTCCTCCAGGTACAACGCTAAACAACGACGACATCGAATCAACAATGTTTCGAGTATGCGTCAACACTGCTGATGCTACTAAAATGCAAGACCCTGATAACATGCCCGAAGGTGTCATCATTCGTGAATGGCATTTCACCTCCAAAAAATCGGAAGAAACCTCATCGATCAACAATGGCTGAATCTTCTTCAAATCAATCGTCAACTAATCCAAATTATGACAATTCGTGTTCATTAATTCCTGTTATTGATCATAGTACATTTCACTCAAACATTGACCCTGACTTTAACATACTGGATTCTTTCACTTTCTCTTCTCCTTACTATTCAATTGATAATCTTTTGAATATGTTAAATAATAATGATTTAAAATCTAATAACCTCTTGTCAATCCTACATATAAATAGTCGTAGTTTATTAAACAAAGTAAACGATTTATTATTGTTAAACAATGTTATAAGTAATTATTTCAATGTAATTGTTATCTCTGAGACATGGTTAAACGACGAATCGGTTAATTTAATCAATTTACCAGATTATAATTTTTTATTCAAAAACAGATCTAATAAAAAGGGTGGTGGTGTCGGGATATTTCTCAAATTGGGACTAGATTATACACTTTTCGACAACGCCCTATCAACGGACGACGTCGCCGATTGTCTATGTATTGAAATTAAATTTCACAAATCCAACGTCATCGTATTTGCTATCTATAGACCACCTAACTCTGACCCCTCCAATTTAATTCAAAAACTTGACCTCGCTTTATCTAGTCTTAAAACCAATTCTAAAGTTTACCTTGTCGGCGATTTCAACTTAGATCTCTCAAAGGCCTGCTCTGATAAACTCGTTGCTTCCTTTTCCGATTTACTGGCTTCCTTCAACTTTGTTCCTCTTATATCTCAGCCTACCAGAGTGACTCATTCTTCCTCTTCTATAATAGACAATATCTTCACAAGCAATCTATCTCATCACATTTCTGGTATTCTTTTACATGACTTTTCCGACCATTTTCCTATTTTCGCTTTATGTCCAAATTATTGTTTCCCCATTCCAACAGCTCCAATTAAACTTCGTAGAAATCTCTGTCCTGATTCTCTTAGGAAAATCAACCTCCAACTTTCTGTCCAAGACTGGTCATCTGTCACTACTCAAGATAATATTAATACATGCTGCTCTACGTTTTATGCCATTCTTTTCTATATTCTGGACTCCGTTTCCCCTCTGCTTCCAGTCAATTATATTTATAAAAAAACGTGGGTCAACAAACACATCATCCATTTATCCAAAATTAAACATAAACTCTACATCANAAGCCTTAAAATTCCGTCGCA